CGGAGAATCATTGAATTTAAAAGGAAGGCGGACGAGAAAATCCACAAGCTTGTCGTAGATTAGCCGATTGGGAGAAAGAGAGAGAGAGAGAGAGAGAGAAAAGTCGATCCCGATTTGTTCGACATCCCGGGTCTCGTTCGTTTTCGCTTGGATTCGAAGATCTAAGACGATAAAAGTTATCGCGAAAGGGACAGCGATCGGTAATACTCGAGGGCAATATCCTCTCGTCGGCAATATCGTCGTTTCTATTCGAGTGGGTCTCTCTCTCTCTCTCTCTCTCTCTCTCTCTCTCTCTCTCTCTCTCTCCTGTAGATTCGCGAGCGCGCGCGCGCGCGCGTGCCTACTAGGCGAGACCCGATGCTTAGGATAGAAAAAGGAAAAATAGAGACACGTTATCCTTTTTCTAGCAGGTCGGTCGTTATCCACCCGTAACCGTGCTCTATTCGGTCGTGTATCAGTCAGGAGCTAGGAGATTACTAGCTTCCGCTTCGTTCGCTGGAATCTGGCGATTCGCCAAGCACCGTTCGCTCGTGTCACGAGTCTATTTTCAAATTCGACCAACTATCGCATCACCGTGTCCTGTTCGATAACCGGCGGCTTTTAACGTCATCGGATAACTAGGGGTTGCGCGATTTCACCCTCGATCCCGTTCCTATCGCGAATACAACCCGACCGAACTCCCACCCTCAACCATCCTCTCTCTTTTAACGTACTTTCGATCGAACGTCATTTTTCTTCATTTTCTTTTCGTCTCTACCCACTCTCTTTGACAAATTTATTATAGTGAAATATTCCTAACGATTATCCACACCCTGGTGTCCTCGACAAGGATCTTACGCAGAAATGAGAAAAGACGCGAACACCGCGCATCGTTCGATTATTCCGCGTAGACCGTGGCCAAACGTAAGCTTCGAACGATTCTCGATATCGATCTCTTGCAATGCTCAACGAACGAAAGCGCGATCGATCCTGTCTTCCCCGAGTATTCCGTTCGTTCGTTCAATTACCGCCGTGTAAAATGCATCGGGAACGCGATAAGTTCTTCGTGAATCTCAGTCCAACTATTTCTCATATCTCGAAATAATCTAGAAAAATCTTCTTCTTCCTCTTGTTTTCCCGTTCCTCTGCTCATTATTATCGATTCTGAACTCGTTCAAAAATCCTTTTCTATTTAGGTAAAAGAAGAAATAAATCGAATAAATATGAATCGCTTATTATCGCGTTAAAATAAAATATACCCGATGGGACGAAAAATAGGCGATATAAATCCTACGTAATCGGCGGAGGACGAATGGATCGAATGAAAAAGGTATAAAGTAAAGAAGAGAAAAGGAGGAAAAGGAAGAGAGAAGGGGGTAAAACACGCTAGCTAGCTAGACGACTTTTCCGAGCTTCATCGAGCACGGATCGTTCGTGGACCGACGACGTCGCGACGCTCGTTGGGAGAGGGGAGGCCGCCACGACGACGACGACGACGACGACGACGACGACGACGTCGATCGACGAAAGCGTTTGCCAAGTAAAACCAAAGCTTTTCCCTCTTTTTTTTCTTTTTCCTTTTTTTTTTTTTTTTTTTTTTCGTTTCTTTTTGTCTTCGTTTGAACAAGTCGCGACGGCAATTTTATCGATCGTTTGAAAATAAAGTAAGATCAATTTTTCGATCGATCCTAAAAAAACTTATTTAAAAAAAAACGTGCCGAAAAATTTGATAACACGACGAAAGTACCTGAAAAAATGTTCTCTTCGTACGTGAAGGGGGTCGCCCTAGGGAAGTCACACGTGCGTGCTTATAACAAAGAGAAGACATCGAGAGCTAGGATCCAGCTATATCGATTATCGAAATTGTCTACGGGTGTTCACCACGAACGAAAGAATAAGGGAACCCATTTGGTCGACGAACTAGAGTGACAGCTGCACGTGTCGTCACTCCACGTACCATTCTTCTCGTTCCATGGTATTCGAACTTTCCGTGTCAACGACAAGAAAATTCGATTCTTTTTCTAAAAATACGATATGTTGGACGATTTTATCGATCGATATTATACGCGCGCGCCAGTGTGTGTACATACAGACACAGACACACACACACACACACACACATATATATATATATATATATATATAGCGATAGTGTAAAAAAGAAAAGCCATACAAGTCTCGATGCGAATTTTCTCTATCGAAGTTACGTGCCGTTCCCAATTGACCACGTGATCGTATCGTCTGCTACGTCCGCCATGACAATAAGAAGTTTACGCGCTTCTTTGCGCGCCACACTTCTCTTATTCGCAAAAAGATTCGTGCGATAATGTTCCTATTTTATACCAAGTTTCACGTTTTGCGCTAAAACTTCTTCCTTATTTCTCGCTATCCAACGAACTGGAACTGGAAAGGATGGATATTCTTTTCGACCTTTCCGTAACGGCACTCAGTTACTCTCTTTCTCTCTCTCTCTCTATCTCTCCCCCATCTTTTTCTTAGGAGAGCGAAAACCGAGAGAGAAAGAGAGAGAGAAAGAGAGGGAGAGAGAGAGAGAGAGAGAGAGAGAGAAGCGAAGCAAAAAGAGCGTGACGCAGAACGGTTCGTCGTTCTTAGGAAGCACGAAGAAGTCGCCCTCGTCGTTCGACGATCATCGTCCATTATCGTACTTTTACGTACCCGGCGAAAACGATGGAGAAAGAGAGAGAGAAAAAGAGAAAGAGAGGACAACGACGACGACGACGCAAGAGGAAAAAGAGAGAAAGTCCAAGAGAAGTAGACTATCGCGTAGCGTCGTCCTCGTCGTCGCGCCACGAAACGCTCCGTTGTTTATACCCTCCTCGCAATAATAATGTCGGAGGATAAGAGGAGGAGGAGGCGAAGCACGAAGTGCACCGACGACACCGCCAACGCCGCCACCACCACCACCGCTGTCGCGACAAATGAGAACGAGACACCGCTTGGCGATGCATGTACGCGCGTATGCACCGGACCACGGCCGCCGCCACCACCACCACCACCACCACCACCGACGACGACGACGACGGCGACGACACGACGGCGATGACGATACACACGCGCACAAACGCGCACGCACCGCACTCGCACGTTCAAAATCAGAGAAAGAGACTTAAGAAGATCGGACACTAAAAGAGAGCACGTACGTACTCCCCGGCTATCGCTCGACTACTGTCAGGTGTGCGTCGTCCTCCTCTCGACGAAGCGTGCACACCACGACGTTGTTTCCCCCACTCCTCTTCCTCCGCCATCCCCACTTTCTTCCTCGACGCGCACGCTATCTGCTTGCCCCACCACCATCACCACTCTTACTACTCTACTAGCACTACTGCTACATGCCGCCGCTATTGCGTCTCCGTCTCGCCTGTGTTTCTTACTTCTCTACGCGCGTACACATACGCACGCGCGCGCGCACACACACACACACACACACACCACCGAATGAGATCGTTTTTCTTTTTCTCACTCTCTCTCTCTCTCTCTTTGTGCATCCCCCTCTCTTACCCGCTGCTTCGCTTCGCACAATTCTGCTTCGCTCTGATCCGCTCTGCTCCGCGCCGCTCCGCGCCGCTCCGCTCCGCTCTGTTCTGTACTGCTCTGTACTCTTCCCCGCTGTTCGCGAAGCACGGACTATCGCTGCGTAGTTGGAAGTACACAGTTTACATAAGATGGGAGCGCCGTGAGGAGAAGGTATGCTCGTCGCAACGCGTACGTATTTGTATATACATATATACATATGTATATCGTCTGTTCTCTCTCTCTCTCTCTCTCGCGGGCAGCATCGTCGACGTTAACCTAAGAGTATGTACGTGCACGAGTGCAAGACGCACTAGTAGCGACGTGTAAAGGACGGTTGAGTCAACCACCACCGACACCCCCGGTCCTTTCACTGCACGACCACGATGAGATCTCTTATTTTCGCGAGGGTAGATTGATCCTCTCGATATTTCCATTCTTTTTTCTTCTCGTTCTTCGAACTTCGTGCAACTTCCTCGTTGGAACGGAATGTAAGAGAACGCAAAGCAGATATTCCTTTCAAATGTCTCCCGATTGTGGATATAACGAGCGGCACTCGTATTCGAATTTGGCGCCAATTATAGAAAGTCCATTTTCAAATTCTGATCGTTGATCGTGATAGCCGATGGCGAAAGTGGGACGCTTGATTTTGATATGCGATAAGGAGAGTAAGCGAAACTATCGAGGTACTGCTACTAACGATCGGCAAGGTGCATTCCGTTATAAAAACGACGATCTGAAATAACGAGAAGAGGCATGCTCGTCTCGCCGCCAGTAGTACTTTCATTTGTTCGAGGCGACGCGCACGATCGCCAAGAAGACTTTTTCTTTGTCATACGACACACAACACCGGAGTCTCCGAGTTTATAGAAATAAATGAATGCTAGGATGACAATGATCAAAATTAATTAAATAAATAATAAAAGTTCTTCGAGAAAGAAGTTACGTAAGATTCTTCAGTTACGAATGGGTAGGATCGTCATCGTTCACTGTCCCCGATGCCGGACCATATTTTTATTCGTATCACTTGAGAAAAAGAAGATCCTTTCCGTAAGCGCTTTTAATTCGATTACGCATCTTCTAATAAAACTTCCTTCGTCGATTATCCAAATCATTCGTGAAATCTTTTATATGCCTTTTTATAATACTTTTCCTAGAATTAGAAAAAGTTCGAGCAGAGATTCGTGAACGTAAACTGGCGCAACTCCCACGAGTTCGCGACGACGGACGAAATTGTTTTAGTTTATGCATATACTAATTTTGAATCTACGCCAATACTACTCAAGAGGAGAAGAAAAATTCTTCGTATAATTTCAAATAAGCATACTCATTGATCAAATGCATTAGAACCTTGATCTTTGACATTGTCCTTCGATGCATGTAGATGCATCGGTTCTATCGTACATTAGTAATGTAAACAAGAGTAATGTGTGTGTGTGTGTGTGTGTGTGTGTGCGCGTGTGTTATATCAAACGTTGCATTTCGCTTACCGTGCTGATGCGGCGCAGAAAATGCCGAATGCCTTCGCGGTGACATATTTGGATGATTTCCTTGACTGCCCGGTGGTTGCATAGACGATAACGCACCCAACGGCGTGTAAGATTTGCATGGTTGCTCTGTCTTTTGCTGATAAAGAAACGTTCATCCTTAGGCAACATTTGTCTCCATGCATTATCATAGAAATTCATCGTCCAACGGCAGAAAATAAATATCAATAATCACCTGGTCGTGAAGTTCAGTAGCTACCGCCGTAGCTGCAGTTTGTGTGTGACTGGTCGAACTTATTCTGTATTGCATACCAGCGATACTGCAGAAACCTTCGTGATGCGTCGACCGTGTTTGGTTAACGTAAACACCTAAAGCATGGTGACGCTTGTAATACCAAAGAAATAAAATAATAAGATTTAAGTATGGTCAACGAATGTAAATATTACCTGTTATAGTTACATCAGTATCTTGATTAACGATTACAACTTTTTTGGATGGCTTTAAAACATCATCCGGATCTGAGCCTTGCCTTCCTTTCTTTTTCTCTGCATCCGAATCATGTTGCCTGCGTCTCTTGATAATTTCCACTTCCGATTCGCTCGAAGAATCACTACTAGATCCACAACGATTCTTTTCATCCGAATACGATGCAGCCAAAATTGCCGACGCATTAAGACTGGCCATCCTTTTACACACAACCATATCCTTCAAATCCATAACCTCTTCGTTTCTCTTTCTTCTCTTGATTACTTTCTTTTTAGAACGTTCAATGTTTTTCTCACGCTCATAGTCCTCGTCCGAAGAGGGAGAAGACGATGAACTCTCCAACATGTCCCAATGTTTCCCCCTTAATCCTGGAACATTTCTCAATTTTCTTTTTGGAGTTGGAAGTTCTTCCGACTTCTTCTCACTCGACTTTTTTTCTTTTTCTTTACGCACTTGACTTTCCTCCTTTTCCTCTTTATTCTTTTTCTGCTTCTCTTTTTCCGGCTTAGGCTTACAGAAGCCTCCAAGATACACTCCCCCGGTTTCATTTTCATAGAGGCAATGTACCTTGGCCAAAGCATTCAATGATGCCACTCTATGTCGCTTTGGTCCGTTCCAGAATCCAAAAAGTCTTATCCTCCTAGCACGTTCATCGGATGGTGAATTGGATCTCTCCTTCTTCTTGGTATACCTTTGCTTACTTTTTTTATTTATATCCTCGTCATAATCCTCGTCCGATTCGGATGCCGAGGTCACACCACTGGTACTACCCCCATTAACAGTCTCGACTTTTAAATCTATTTGAATAACGCTTTCGTTATTAACTTCTTCTTTTTTTGTACCAGCCATCGCATTTTTTATACCATCCTCGCATTCTTTAGATTGTTTAACGGATTCTCCCATGGAGGATTCCATGGGAGAAGAAGATCTTTGATTGTTGCTCTCGTTTTGTGTCTTTCCTTTCGATATCTTTTTTGGAACCTTTTTACCAATTTTTGTGTTACCTTTCATAGGTTTCTTTTCGTCTGGCGATTTGGGTCTTGGGTCTCTTTCGTCTTTATTCTTTTCCAATTCTTTCTCCTCTAAAACTTCATTTTTTATTTCAGGCGTGGGTGCTCTGTCATTTACCGCATTGCTATGAGAAATTTTTTTAGTTTCGTTCAATGTTTTCTCTATGGCTTTCAACTCAATTTTCTTCTTCAAAATCATTTTCTCAGCCATCGTTTTCAACTTATCTTCCGCCTTAATCACTCCACAAATCTTTGAATTTTTCTGCGGCAACTTGGCCTTCATATGTTTACTTAATTTTGGCTTCTTCTCTTGCGTACCTTTACCCTTTGACGCGCATGTATTTTTTTTCTTAGCTTTCTTAGCTTCCTCTTCCTCCTCGTTAATCGTTTCTTCTACCTTTAAAGATTTGACTAGTTTTATCTTTTTATCTACGAACTTGTTGACTACCGTAAAGTGAGGCTTTTTCGCTAAAACCGTTTTTCGTGGAATACTTTTCTTTTGAGATGATTTGGTCTTGGAGTTCTTCTTTGTTCTTGTCGGAGAGTTTCTTCGACTGGCAGCAGTATCTTTGTCTGACATTTTTTTACGATCACATTTCTTGTCCTTCGTCAGAACGTTCTTCGATGTTTCTTTCGTATCCATTTTAGACAGCTTTATATCCTTCTTCTTTTCCTCTTTCCCTCGCTTCTTCAAACTCAAACTTAGGACATCCGTCTTGTCTTCAAGCGCATCCTTATCCTCTACGGTATTTAAAGATTTCACTTGATCTTCCGCACTTTCCTCATCCATTTTCCCACATTTTTTTCTATCATCCGATTTTTCAATTTTCTTTTTATTATCCGCAGACTGTTTTTCGACTTTAGTTCTCTCTTCTAACTTTTGTCCCTTTTTTTTATCTTGATTGTCACACTGTGACTCTTCCGTATCTTCTTTTTCCTCTCCCCTATCCAATTTCTCCTCTTCGATTATTTTATCAGTTTTCTTTTCATTATCCTTATTACACTTTTTATCCATTTTCTCTGACTTGTCCTTCTTCTTATCTTCAACTTTCTTCTTTTCTTCATACTTCTTTTTCTCTTCCATTTTATCTGATTTTTTCTTCTCGCCGTCTGACTTTCTTTTCAGATCTTCGGATTTATCCTGTTTCTTAGATTTCTTCTCCTTCCTTACTTCTGATATGGTCTTTTCCAAGAGAGTGCGACGTTTTTTAGCTACTGTTGGCATTTTAGTTGCCTTTCGGGCAACAATAGCCTTCTTCTGTGGCTTCATCATGTGCGTTCTCTTCACATCTTCAATTTGATAAAAATACGCTTGAAGTTCTTGAATGTCCTTAGTCAATTTTTACAACTACCTAACTGCCATTGTAGATAATAATAGTGATAGTCCAAATAAATACTGGATCTATCTGTAAAAGAAAGAAAAAGGAGAAATAAAAATAAGGAATGCAAACTCAAAGTACACTTACAACAGATGGAAATGTACAAAGGTATGAACAGAAAAACATATATATATATATATATATATAAATATATATGTGTATAAAAAAGAAATATATATATATATGTAACAAAAAATCACGATCATATAATTAGAGGGTGACTCGTTTAACGATGACTATTAGATGGAATAAGAAATGTTTGGAAGAAAAACGATAAGAACGATCATAGATATAATTAATATTCAATAACGAAACGACACATCATAGTCCATCGGAGCCGATAAATTTCCCCATTAAAATCACACTTTCTCGTACTCAAAAGGAGCGCGAAAAGTTTTATAAGACCAAGTGTCGGGGTGAATGTTTCGATTACGAAGAGAGAGAGAGAGAGACAGAGAAAGAGAGAAAAAAAGAAAGTGATCCAGACCGTGAACTGCGCGTACTCTCATCGACTTGTTGACAAATCGATCCCTTTAAATCTCCACTGCTCCCGTCATTCAGCACGCGTTATACGCGTTCGAACGGCGGAAGAGGTATCACAGTCACGTCCGCCACCGAAAAGCGAAATCGACGTTAGACGTTTTCGTGTCAAAGTTAATACTTGAGATTTACGAGGTAAAAGAGATAGAGAGAGATAGAGAGAGATAGAGAGAGAGAGAGAGATAGAGAGAGAGAGAGAGAGAGAGAGAGAGAGAGAGAGAGAGAGAGAGCCAGAGAAACAGAGAGACAGAGAGAGAGAGAGAGAAAGAGAAAATCCGCGAAAGGTATCGGAATAGTTGGCGGCTGAAAATGGGCCACCCTTTAGAAAAGCGTCCGTAGATGGCCACAAGTGGCAGACGTGAACCCAACCTGCTGCTGATCGATGAGCTTCTCGCGCAGGAAATTTCCTTTTGAAATCTTACTGATCGTTCATACACATTAAATGATACGTGCACTCGACATTATTTTTTGTAAGAGAACAAAATCTAGAAAGAAGGATGAATGAAAAGGAAGGAAGAGAGGAAGGAAGGAAGGAAAGAAAGAAAAAAGGAAGGAAGGAAGGAACGTTTATGTACATCGATTAGCAATGCGAGAGAACGCGAGAAGATAGGGCGTCGTACAAAGCCGTCTCTCGTGTTTACCTCTCTGGCGAGCCCTTCTCACTCTCTCTACGTGTGTTGCCTATGATCGGCCCGCGAACGCTTTTTTTTAAAACGATCCAACTGGCACGACTAAGGTCTCGTCGATCGAACAAACCTACCGGCACCACGCGACGCTCCGTTTAATATCCCGATTCTTCCTGCACGATTCTTCTCGCGCAATTCACTGAGACGCACGCATCTTTCCTTCTCGAAACGCGTACCTCGCACGACGTCCCTGCCCTTTTACCGTAGCCTTGTCGGCCATTTTCTTCCTCGCGCCGCTCTCCCACTCCTCCCTATCACAAATCGCCCTCTCTCGGCAGATCTTATAATTACGCGCTTCCTTGGTTATCGATATTTGTCGATAAATGTTACGATCGAATAATCGTACTCTCGTCAGCTGTCCTTTGTTATTTAAGCGCGCGAAAGAGTACGAGGTACGATTTTTTTTTTTTTTTTTTTTTTTTTTTTTTTTTTATAGAAAACAAATCTATCTCATTGGGAGATTGGGAAACACACACATATATACACACACACGCATATATATATATACACCTCTCTTCAAAAAATAATTTTTCTTATTAAAATAAAATGTAGATACTTATATAAACCATATAAATCGTGTAAAAAATCGTAAGGCATGGATAATAATATTTAAGGAATATGCAGACATTTCGGTATTACATCGTAGTTCTAGGATTAAGAAGTATCGCTTCTACGACTTCACCCGGATACAGTGCCGTCTTAGCAACCGTTTTCCCTGGTAACATTAACAATGCATTAGCATTTTTACAACTGAATAATTTACTGCTTATTTGATTTCCAGTACTATGGGCCAATGGAAGATCTGCTTCGTCTTTCCACGTTAAGATAACTCTTGCGTATTCCGGACGAGGATCCAATTGATAAGTCGAATCCACCTGCAATTAATTTATAAAAATTATATATATATATATATATACATACACAATTCGGTAAATATTTATATAAAGTGGACGAACCTTCGTCTTTATGATGACGGGTTTCGAAATATCACCATGCATTTCGTTAAGTAAAGGTATAACAAATAAAATCGAAGTAACTGTTGCCGAAACTGGATTACCCGGCAGACACATGAAATATTTTTTTTTACCATTATATATACAAGTTGCAAAAGTTGTTGGTTTACCAGGTTTCATGTTTACACGGCCTATAATAATATATAACAAATATAACATTCATTTCTAAGATAAATAATTAAACTAATAAGTAATAATTACCAAAATGTATTTTTGCATTAAAATAATGTTCTAGTACAGGTTTCAACATATCTCGATCGCCCATCGACACTGATCCGGATGTTACGAGTACATCGACTTTACCCAAGGCATTTTTAATTGCATCTACCATGCTGGCTTTGCTATGAAAAATAAACGATAAAGCATCGAAATTAATAGTATCAAATTTACCCATAATTTGCTTTGTCGTTCATAGACTTACTTGTCCTTTACAATTCCCAAATTCTTTGGATCATATCCATTTTCTCGTAATATGGATATTAAAGTTATCGTATTACTGTCATATACGTATCCTGGCTTTAAATCATTCCCTGGTTCTTCCAATTCATCCCCCGTTGATAATACCCCTATACTAGGAACTTTATAAACCTTCACTTCTTTATAACCGCAAGCAGCTAAAAGTCCTACCTCTGCTGCTCCAAGCTTTATTGGCGCTTTAATTACGAGCTCTCCTTTTTTTAAATCACAACCAATAGGTCTTACAAGGAAAAAAGAAAAAAAAAATATATATATATATATATTATATTTCGATAGATACCACTAAATGCATTTGAAGAATTAAATACCTAATGTCCTGTCCCTCCTTTGGTACAGTTAAAATTTCAATTTCTTTCTCTTCCGTATTATCGTTGTTCTTTAATATAAGCTTTGTATCCTCCACTTGAACAACAGCAGTTGCATCTAAGTGCAATCATCCGAATATTTATATTCTTGTTTTCATTAATCTCTTTTAACAAACACTTACCATCCGGTATCGGTGCGCCAGTATTTACTCTTATACAAGAGCCAGGTATCAAAGATATAGACGCTGCCTACGTGTTTTACAAACATAAAGTTAATTATTTCTAGAATTAAATCGTACAATTTCTCAAATATTTTGTACATACAGTATTTCCTGCTTTTAAAGCACCTAAAACCCGTCTTCTACCTTTCCCATCCTCTGCCAAAACGGCATAACCATCTTTAATAGATGCTCGAAATGGTGGTAAATCGCAAAGAGAAAATATATCATTAGCTAAAACTCTGTTATGAGCATTCCAAATTGTCACAATTTCTGTTCCTTGGAGTTCTATATTTTTATTTATTAATTCTCTTGCTTTATCAACGGAAAGCATGGGGTACGGTGATTCCCTGAGACGCGTGGCAACATTTTCCAAGTGTAACTACAAAAAAGTATTTATAGCTTAAACAAAAAAGGATACATAAATTATATTTTTATACAAGTATAAGTTACATAAGCCTTGTACCAATGTAGTAGAAGGTAAAACACAACTATGATCATTGTTATTTGTCTTTGTAATGCTGTGTGATGCATGCACTCTTTCTACATCTGCCTGATTATTTGAAATTAAATCAACCGCATGTGGTATTACAGATGCAATAGGAACTAAACATTCCTTCAAAGCTTTTGGTGATCCTGGTAGATTAATGATTAATGTTTTTCCACGAATTCCACATATGGCTCTAAAATTCGTATGTTAAAAAAATCAAAAAAATTCAAAATAATAACAATCTTATATTACCTAGAAAGTGCGGCCATAGGTGTCACTTGTAAGCTCGATACAAGCATAGCTGTTGCTATTCCCGGAGCTTCTTTGTCGATAACTTTTTTTGTTGCTTCGGGTGTAACATCTCTATTGGAAAAACCAGTACCACCGGATGTCAAAATGACATCTAACTTTTGTACATCACTCCATTTTACCAAATATTCCTTAGAATTAATAAACGTTTGGAATTAAAAATGTATTTAGAAATAACATAACAATTACATCCTTATTATTAATTATCATACCATTATAACTTCTTCCTTATCTGGTATTATTTTATCCTGAAGTACTTTCCCTTTAAGTATTTTTCCTGTATCAGTGTTTATGTCACCGACCAGACGTTTTAATTCAGGACCTGTTTCATCTTTTCTGGACCCTTCCGAGCGACTATCGCTTACTAAATAAGCAACACCATAGATATACATTTTTATTAATAAATTGAATTTTTATTATTGTTATAAACAACATAATAACATACCAATTAAGATACCAAACGTAATTCCGGCCATATTCTCTTTTCTATTCACTAACCAAAAATTGACAAATCTTTCTATTACTGTAATATATTTCAGTTGAAAGAAACAAGACTAACCGGTAGGAAAAAATATGATAACATCAAGGCTATCTAGTTATTCAAAATGATAACGAACGTTTTTAATCAAATTGATTACTACATACTGTTAAATACTGTCATTTATATAACGTCGTATATCAGCATAATCACGTCTTTCGGCTTTATATGATAGATTGCACCGACTTTAAAAAGTTCTATCATAGACGTGCTATATACCTTGCAATGAAGATTTTCGTATACGTAGACTTATCTTATAAGCTGAAATTTCTTTTACCATCTCCATAAAGTTCCTGACTTTACCGATACACATTTAGAAATAGATTGTAGCGCTTTAAGTGAACTAAAAGAATATCTGATACATGATTTAACAACAGTTGATATCTGAGGTAAGTCGAACGTTCACAAGGAAATAAAATTCAAAATATCACATCTAATTATTTAACAAGTTGAAAATGTACGAATAATCGACTATTATCGTATGACTTGACGAAATAAAATATTTTGTTATCACACATTCGATCATGTGATTCGATCATTCGATTGTTTTATAAACGATTCCTTTTATTCGAATCAACTTTTGTAAGTTCTAACATAGAGCAAATAATATCATATAATTTTACAGCAAATTCCAATTAATTTATAATAGCTTGCATAATACAGTTCAATTAATATATATAGTTGTTTGTGTGTGTGTGTGTGTGTGTGTAATTCAAAAATGAAGCAGCACTTCTAAGAAGGAATGCAATGAATAGGAAGTTTCTTTGTAAATTATAATATAAAATCTGGATGTAACGAATTAGGCATATTATTTATCTCTCACGTTAGTAGTCTACCAAGCCTCTGTAAAAAGAAATAAAGTAAATCAATTTGAAAATAGTTATTCGAATCATAATGACATTTATTTATCCGTAGGACATTACCGACTACTTCTTGGACTTAAAGAACGAAGCGGAGAATCTCTGTATCTTCTTCGTGATTCTTGCCTGCATCTTTCTCTGTCATCACGCCTATCTCTTTCTCTATCCCTTTCTCTATCTCTATCTCTTTCTCGATCTATTTCTAAATCCCTGTCTCTTTCTCTCCTATCTCTACGTATATGATGTCTCGGACTACGTCCTGGACTTGGCGTACGAGATATAGAAGATCGTGAATCAGAACTGTGACCTTCGTACCGATGTCTTCTTTCTCTTTGTCTGTAAATGTACATTTATATTATATTTCTTTAATATATTCTCTCTCTTGTATAAAATGAAAACAAATATGAACTTACTTTCGACGTAATTTTAATGACATTTCTCTAATTTCGTCTTCTCGGTCTTGTCTCTGTTGTTCCTTCTTTTCTATTCTCAATTGTTCCGCCTTCTTGTCCGCTTTATCTACGATACAAAATATTACAAAATATGAACGATCGATTTTTTTTATTACAATTTTAATTTCTCACTTACATTGCCTATTTAATAGAGCCTGCATTTTTTTCTTAAGCCGCTCTTGAGGTGTTATTTTCGTAGACTGAAAAGTAAAACTCTTAATGCTTTGTACTTCCAAACTATCTTTTGTCGTTTATTTTATTATTTTTCTTTTTTTTTCTTTCTTTCTTTCTTTTTCTTTTTTTTATTTATTATTATTTTTTTTTTTTTTTTATTATAATAATGCTACTTCGAATATTTCTTTACGATCAATAGAACACAATTGAACTATACCGCAAAGAATTTGAAAATAATTCGATTACGATCTCTTTTAACAATTACATATACATATACATATATACATATACATATACATATATATATATATATATATATATATATATATATATATATGTATGTGTATATTTTAAGTAATAGAAACTTTGGTATAATTCAAATTCTTCGTGGTTTTGATTAAATGGAAATCGTTAGCAAATTTGTAGGAATTAATGAAACATAGACGACTGAATAAATAAAATTATGTTAACGCCTCATTGACGTCTGCTCCAACGGAATCAAAACGAGTAGCACTCGCTAAAGCTCCTCGTTGAGAGATTTATATAGGAACAAGTATGTTCTGTCTTTATTCTCTGTGCGTTAAGTGACTAAGAAAGCGTTATGGTTCTTACTGACTTTGTGTCCGCCACCAGAATTTGTACTTAACCCTGCTTTTGGCGTGTTTCTGCAATAATTAATACGAGACAAGAGATTCAAATAGACGATATGAATATTATTATACATACATACATACATACATACATACATACATACATATATATATATATATTACACAAGAATGATGGCATTTTACTTACATGCTTGCGGTTGTTACTGTTGGCTTTAGCGTTGCTGCTGTGCTTTTTTCTTCCTTGTCAGACAATTCTAATTCAAGACTGGAGGATTTGCCACGACGGCCATAATATCTGGTAAAATGAACAATAAATAATAGTAAAAAGTGAAAATTGACAATATTTCCTTAAAATTTACAAATGTATGTATATAAAACGAAACGGTAAATACCTTGGCAGTGTTTGCACTTTATTTTCAATACTACGTGATCGTTTACTATTATTGCTTTTAGACCTAGATCTTGATCTTGTTTGAGATTTTGATCTTGAGCGTGATTTTGATCTCGATTTTGAGGGAGAATAACGTCTTCGACGATAACTATCTCTGGAACGACTTCTGTGATGCGATTTAGATCTCGATCTTGATTTAGATCTTGATATGCTGCTTGATGAGGAACTTCTTGATCTTTTTTGACGTTGACGCGAAGTGGATCTAGATCGAGACCGTGAAAGCGAACGCGATCTTGATCTGCTTGTACTTCTACATCGAGATCGAGATTTACTACGTGTTCTTGATCGTCGAGAACGACTTCTTGTTCTGGATCTTTGCATTTTCCTATGTTTCGATCGCGTTCTTCTGGATCTACTATAAAGATTACGATATATTAGAAAGAAGACTATCTATTAAGAAAAATTAAAAAGAAATAATGAAAAAGATAGATATATTTACCTCATTCGCGAGACACTGCGCCTCCTGTCGCGTGTCCTGTAAGATTTGCTTCTACTAACAGAGCGAGAACAGCTTCTTGATCTAGATTTTGATAATTTTCTACTAACTGTCCTTTCGTTCGAAACAGGGCTTTCAGATCGTCTTCTTCTAAGATGCGAATAATTGACTTTTTTCGAATTCGATGAAGTTACGTGAGAAGAGCTACTATGAGCTTCTTCCTCACCGCCAAAACTTGTAATATAAGTAATTTGTCCAGTATTTACAGGAGAAGCAGACCGTGAACGTGATTTTGAGGAAGATTTCCTGTAAGGATTGTATTCTGGACTTTCACGGGCTGCATAACTGAAAAAAAGAGATAAATGCATGTTAAAAAAAAGATATACACAATATAGATATCTCACAAACATAGCAAACTATAAATTACCTTGGTGGGCTCATAACACGACCGATCATCTTCTTTTCTCGAAATGCTCGTCTTTCCCTGCGAGATCTTCGACCCTATTTGATAGATAAAAATAAAGATATCAAAATTTGTTGTGAAAATATTCTACACGTATAATTGAATATTACATACAGAATACATCGCCTTTTCTTCTTCCTGCTTGCGTGCCTGTCTTAATGTTTCTGCCTCTTCAAAATCCTGAGTCAAAAAACTGAAATAATCAGCTCCCAAAAGTCCATACTTTTGAGCAACCAAATTCATCTCGTGCGCTTGAGAAGGTTCGATTTGTGAAACATCTACACATATATCTGCATAAAAGAGAAAATGATAAATCCATAGTTTCTATAACGATGGTTATAGAAAAGCATGTCATTTAATAACTTCATTTCTAACCCAAATCAATGTCGCTATCCTCATCCTCTGGTTTCTCATCAGCTATAACAGAATCTAATGTTTTTGTTGCGTCAGGAATTGGTTCTTCTGTCTCGTAGTTGTAACCAATAGCAGCATTGTTAGAAGATTTTTTCTTATCTTTTGAAGCATCTACTTTGGTGGATGAACCAAATTGTTCCTCCAAATGTATTTGATGTAAAAATTTTTCTTCTGCGACTGTATGAACAATTATTATTATTATTATTATCATTATTATTATTATTATTGGGAATATCGCATAATACATAAAGTGTATTATAAAAGGAAATTTCTTACCTCCCAAAAATTCATTTTGCACAATTATGCGATAACGTTCATAATTGATATGTCTGTCTTCGCTGGTAAGAGCAATGTCAACGTCGATGGTATCTGGTGCCTCTGGTATCCAATCTAAATGAGCACGTACATCAAAGCGATCTATAAGATTGTCTTCGTTTCCTTGCCAGGGCATCCTGAAAATAAAGTATTAAAAGCACGTCCTCAAAATTATAAATATTATAATGCTTACATGTTAGCTGGACTATCACCAGCAGCTGCTATAGCTGGATCCAAATGTATTTTGCACGGTCTGCCATGAAGTTGAAGGAACTGGGTAGGATCTGATTTCTGATAGAAGTATAACGTTAATGAGAGTCAATGGGAGACGCGCAAGATGTCCTTCATAAAAATGTTCGTATACGTTCGAGACGTATAAAAAGTTAAAAAGGAAACGAAGAAAAAAAAAAGAAAGAAAGAAAGAAAAGGAAAAAAGAAGAAAAGAAAATACGTTCAAATTGGGCCAGATGATTGATTGCGGACGAAGAAAAGGCGAGATTTTACATAATGTCGATAGAAAATGATTTAATGCTTAAAATCTAAATCTAATGTTCTTACAATTTTTTCATAATAATCTCTACGACGTTCGGCTCGCCGACGATAATCGACCAACATCCCACGTATCTTTTTCTCTTGCTTTCGAGCTTCGTGCCACATTCTTCCGCCGGTTTTCTTTACGGAAAAACTCATTATCTACGAAAGATTACTTCTGTGATATTAAAGTAACAATAGAACTTCCATTTATTCGGTGGAATACGATAAAAAAAACTGAAGAATATCTAATTCACACATTTTCGTCTTTCACGGGGCAGACATGTTGCCTTGCAACCGCTTTTATTGGATGTCATATCTAAGAGAGAGCGAGAGAGGGGAGG